CCCCCCCCCCCCCCCTCTATCTAACCACACACACCCCCTGCGACGAAGTCCTCGCAACGGCACTGAGTATATATCTTTTGAAAACAGGCGAGGGGTTATTGCATGCATGTATTTCTAGTATATATATGGATCCACTATATCCTTGCAAGACTAAGTACTTACCTCCTAACGCGGAGCTGACCGCTGACCGTACATTTGCCGTACACAGGAGGAAATAAAACTTGTCAAGTAAAATTGCCCGTCTGTACGGGGCTTTAATCCTTCAAAAGAGATGCCCAAAAAATCGCGATTTTCATCAATTCGCCTTCGGTGGATTCATGCAGTTTTACAACTTGGAGAAAATCTAAACTATCTCAATCAGTTCTCACCTTTCTGTTCCTATAGTCAATGTATCTGTCATATAGCTGTCGTTTCTTTTTCTCATATGACTTGAAGTTACCACTCTTCATTTCTGTTTGAACTTTTTCCTGCAATGTTTGAATTGCAGAGCTAGATTGTGAACCAAGTTTAAGACCTCGGTAATTCGCAAATTATTCAAATTTCACAGTGCAATGGACCTTTCACCTTTTGACTAAAATTTAGATGTCAACAAGTCTAGACAAAAATCATCTTCATCACAGCTTGAAAGAGCATCACAAAATTAGTAATATTCCGAAGTTTCGTTGCGAAATGTTGTAAAATGCGGATAATATAGCCTTGCGAAGTTTGCAATTTTCAGTCATATTGTATTACGCGCGGGAAATACATACCTCCTTCAGAAAAAGGGTATTTTTGTAACGTTTGTAATACAAAATGACTGAAAATTGCAAACTTCGCAACGAAACTTTGGAATATTACTAATTTTGTGATGCTCTTTCAAGCTGTGATAAAATTTTTGTCTAGACTTGTTGAGATCTAAATTTTAGTCAAAAGGTGAAAGGTCCACTTGCGAACTTTTTGCCAGATCGATAAACATTGGAACACCCTAGATCAATTTAATTGGTAAATACATGCAGTACTGCTCAGCAATAACCTAACATTTGCAATACATCCTTCTGGAAAGTGTTCATACAGCCTTGGCCATACAGCTTCGTTTTTGTGATTGAGATATTGGGTTTAGGAAGTTTTATCTTGTTACAGGTGATACATTTAGGAAATCAGTGAGTTGCAATAGTCTAAATAAGTTCTACCTAATTAGCTCATCAGTAATAGGATGAAGGGCTCCAAAGCCCAGATCTCAATCACGAAAACGAGGCTGTATAACCACGACTTTCCGGAAGGGTGAGAAATGAAGCTGAAATGCAATCACGAGCGAATTTCACACCTGTTCTAGTACAGCGGTCAGAAGCATGGGGCTGGGGAAGGGGCAATTACAATCAACTTATCCGAAACAGTTTGTTGTTATTATAAGTAATAGCATGGCATTCAGGGCGATTAGTGATTAAATGTACCCGAAAGTCGAGGCTTGAGGGACATTTCATCACTAATCGACCGTAATGCCATGCTATTACTTTGTAATATCATAGTTAACGAGGGAATCGCGCGTGGTGTGTTGCCTGTTTTGAATGCTGTTTGATTGTCTTATGATTGTGGTACAAACACTTTTCATATATACGCACGCGCAGAAACACACCTCCGCGTTCACTGGCGTTTTAGGCATGCGCATAAACGGAATTTTCTCCCACAATTGAAATGTTCAAGATTAGGGAATAAAAGCTGGCAAAGTGATTGTTTGAATGTGTACGGGACGGTGTCGTCAGATACTGTCCATAGTTGTGCCGATGATTTTCGATGAGGTACAGCTCTCCAATCAGAGATTTCGAGGTGACTATGATATTACATTGATAATAGGGAACTTTAGATTCGCTACGGCTACGAAATCTGGTACGACGAGATTTTTTCCGTTAAATATCTGCTACTACAGACTTTCTACCGTCCTTTCTTTTGCATACCACATCTTTATAGCAACAGTTGCGCAAAACCATTATTTGTTTTTAGTTGCTGATATTTAATGGAAAAAATCTCGTAGTCGTACTAGATTTCGTAGACGTAGCGAATCTAAAGTTCCCTATTATGTTTTCCCCCCAAACGGCTGAGACCCGCCCCCCTAAAAGAAAATACAATTTGTATACGATGGCGCGCACTGTCTTGTCACGTTATTTATGAACAGTATACACCATTGAACTATAAGTAAACTGGAAGGCTAACTCAGGGGGGAGGGGGATTGAAGCCGTGCTTTGTAGGTAGTGCCAGTCCTTTTTTGCAAATTTTGTTTGAAAAATACACTTTATACATCGATAAATTTTACTCCTTTAATTTCCTTTCCCTCTTTCCTTTTTCATTTTAGAGCATACTAAGACAGTTAATCTTTTCACTCAAGTACTTACAACAATTAAAATACTCATTAAAAATTCATAAACGTTGTGGCAAATCATGTCAGCCATAATATGTCACGTGGAGTGACTTTATATCTGATAAAAGTCATCTTTATTAGTATTCTTTATATAATTGTTCATTCTAATTAGTATGATTATATAATTGTTCATCCTAATTAGTATTCTTTTGTAGTCGTATTTTAAGCTATTCAAAACACTCGAACTCGCGTTTTATCATATCTAAAACGCTCGGCTGCGCCTCGCGTTTTAAATATGATAAAACACTCCTTCTCGTGTTTTAAATACTACGTAAATATCGTCCAACTGCTAAAATATTACAGAAAAAAAATTGTCAAAAACCGCGAGAAAATGTTTGGTTTTTCTGAGTTACGAGACTTTCCAAAAAGAGTTAAGAGATTTTATGATACAAATTATGGAGAAAAATATTAAATACATTTGCAAATTTATTTTCAAGTACCCACGACTTACTTTTGACAGTTAAAATAAGCATTATCAAAGCTAGCTTGACTGCCATATACGTGCTCATATAAATGCCCAA